GCCATAAACTTTGTGCCTTTGGGATTGCAGTGCAGCTTCTTGCCACTAGGCCATTAGAGCTCATAATATCTAGATGTGTGGATTTTGAGTCACAGTTCTCAAACTTTTTTCCATAGAATATAACTATCAAAACATATTTCTGATTCTTTAATTTTTTACATCTGAGAAAGACTTGGATCCACTGGAGTTTATTCTTATATGTGATGTGAAGCTGGGATCTAATTTTTTGTACACAACATCCCCTCAGCTGAAAGCCAGTTAACTCAGAAGCAATTCATAGCTGACTCTCGAGCAGGTTTTCAGAAGCTGTAAAGTGCACAAGAAGAGATAACTTGTCTTTCTTCCGTGGAACAGCTGGTGGATTCAAAACTCTTTGGGTTGGAAGTACAAGTCTCTGCCCACTAGGTGATCAGAGCTGTTAAGTAGCCCCAGCACTGCTGTTAGGAACCCTATGAACAGTGCATCTGAACCTTGCCCTATCCTGTGCCATTTTCATGATCTTTGGTCTATTTGAGCCCATTGTTACATTCTGTCACTACAATCTTAGTGAGGGACTTCCTTTCTTTCACTGACCCTCCACTTTCCCAAGGACTAATACCTCCTAACAACATACTGGAAATTTGTTAGTTGAAGTTTCACAATTCTTGCCTCTAAAGAGCACCCCAGTTACACTTTCTCTGAGACAGATTTGTTTGCTCTTTAGGCAGTTCAAGGGGTATTTCAGTACTTTTCTCCAACACTAACTGTTCAAATGTGTCATCTCTTCTCTGTTAGGCTTACAATGTGAGCACTTTAAACTGGTGTTATAACTCAACACTCTGGAGAGGTCCTTGACAGCAGATTTTCCCAATGTCATATGTCTTTTGACACATGGTACAAAGGATGCTGATCCAGTAATTTGAAATACTACCATTATCACATACTAAATTTATGTATATACTTGCTTCTGTTTCTGAGTTATCCAGTTTTTTTATACTGGACTATTTGTATTTTCTTGGACCAGAATCATGAGACTTAAATGAAACCTACCTTGTGGTAGGTTATTTTTCTTTCTTTCTCCCCGCCCCCCCTCACTGCCATCAAGTCAGAAACAATCTGACCCTCCGGTGGGTTTTCAGAGGCAGTTAACTGCATGGGAGGAGATTGCCCATCCTTCTCCCACGGAGCAGCTGGTGGCCTCGAACTTGTGCCTTTGGGATTGTAGTGCAGCTTCTTTGCCACTAGGCCATCCAAGCTCCCTAGTATAAAGTAGGTAGCTATCTTATATCTTGTAAATTCTAACTTCTATGATGTTGATGAAGCAGGATTAAAAGCAAATCTGTAAAGATATGATGAGCCTTATCTGACTGAGGGAAAATCTCTTCAGGATGGTAGCCTCTAAAGATATGATTGGCCTTACCTGACTAAAGCGAGATCCCTTTAGGAGGGTGACCTAAATGGCATATATAGTTGGACTCTGACAAAATGAGGGACAGTTTCTTGTTTGATTTACATCTGGTTATCTGCCTCATGACTCTGCCTTCCAACAATGGTCTTTGAATGTGTGCTTCTGAAGTTGGCAGCCTCCAAAGCCAGGAGCCTGAAACCTTTCCTGCTTGCTGAGGAGTTGCATTCATTAGTCTCCCCAGATGCACATGAATCATTCTCTTGGGGGTGGGGGAAATACCTCCTCTAAATATGTAAACTTAAAAATAATCTATGAGACCAAATGGGCAATTACTTTAAAAAAAAGCTAAAAAGTATGTAAGGAGACAGGGAAACGAAATTAAAAGAAATGGAGTAACCAGAACAGAAATGAGAATGTTCACCTTTAGTAAGGATGAAGTTCCATCTCATATACTTTGGATATGTGGCCAGGAGAAACCAGTCCTTGGAGAAGGACATCATATTCGGAAGGACATTGCAGGAGAGAAAGACCCTGGATGAGATGGATTTATACAGTAACTGGGACAATGGGGATTGGCGTGTCAGAATTAGTGAGACTGGCTCAGGACAGGGCAGGGTTCAGGGCTGCTGTACATAGGGTCATTATGGGCTACAGGTGATTCAACAGCACATAACAACAACAACCAATGTCGTGTAACCATTTCTGTATAAACTATTACATGAGAAAGTAGGCTACTGTGAAACTTCACTGAAAGCATGTTGTTGTTGTTGTTGTTATGTGCCATCTAGTGGCTTGCAACTCATAGCGACCTTATGTACAACAGCCCTAAACTCTGCTCTAGCCTGTGGCAATCACACTGTCTCCAATACACCCATCCCGATTACCCCAGCCACTGAATCAATCCATCTCATAGACGATCTTCCCCTTCCCAAGACCATCCCTCCACCCTCCCAAGCATGATGTCCCTCTCCAAGGACTGGTCCCTCCTTACAACATGTCCAAAGTATGTCAGATAGAGCCTCAGAATTCTTGCCTCCAAGGAGCAGCCTGGTTTAACTCTCTCCAGGATGAATCTGGTTCCATTTCTTCAATGCACAGAGGTCACCAAGCATTGTCTAAGTTCTCTCTTCCTATGCTGCAAACTTTCAGCCAATCAGATGGGGCATCTACAGATTTTGCTTAATTTTCATGTCCCCTGTCTTAAAAATGCTTGTTATGTTTTTTTTTTTAAGTTTTTCAATTGTGTTTCATCCATGTATACTGCAGTGCCCCAAATTCCAATTATTTACTCCCCTCCTTACTTTCAGTGCTTCTGTCCCTGCCCTTCCCTCTTGGTATATCCATTCACATCTCATTGTGTTATCTTTCTGTTTTTACAGTAATGGTCTCATACAGTATTTGTTCTTATGCATCTGACTTAGTCCACTCAGCATGATTTCTAGCCTCTCCTATGTTCTATAGCATTATTCAAAATCATTGCTCCTGAGTGCTCCACAGTATTCCGTCATGTAAATGTACTGTTGTTGTAGTTATTGTTATGTGCTGTTGAGTCACCTGCAACTCATAGTGACCTTATGTACAATAGCTCTGAAGCCTGCCCTGTCCTGAGTCAGTCTCACTGACTCCAACACACCTAATCCCATCGCCCCAGTTATCATGTAAATCATATCATCTAGGGTTTTCCTCTCCTGTGCTGTCCCTTCACTCTTCCGAGCATGATAACCTTCTCCAAGGGATTGGTCCCTCCTGGCCATGTGCCCAAAGATGTGAGATGGAGCTTCAAAAGCTTAGCCTCCAAGGAGAAACTTGGTTTCATCCTCTCCAAGACAAACTTATTTGTTTTCTTGGTGGTCCATGGTATGTTCAAGACTCTTCTCCAGCAACACAATTCGAAGGCATTGATTCTTCTTCTGTCATTCTTAGTCATTGTTCCACTCTTTGATGCATAGCATGTAATTGCAAAGACTATGGCCTGGATCAGGTGCACCTTAGTCTCTAGACTGACATTATTGCTTTTCAGAGCTCTGGAGATGTCCCTGACAGCAGATTTTCCACAATGCAATTATTCTTTAGATTTCCTGACAAGCTGTGTCGAAGTATTGATTGTGGAGCCGAGCAACCTGCAATTATTAACAACCTCAATCTCTTCTCCATCTCTTTTATCTATTACAGTGTTGCAAATTGGTCCATTGGTGAGAATTTTTGTCTTCTTGATGTTGATCTTCAATCCAATCCTGATGTCACATTCCTCTTCATAAAGCCCTGCTTCCTGAATGATCTGTTCTGCATATAGATTGAAAAGGTATGGAGACAGGATAGATCCCTGATATACTCCTTTTCTGATTTTGAACCATGCCCTGGTTCTGTTCTGATGATTGCTTCCTGGTCCAAGTAGAGGTTTCACATAAGCACAATCAAGTGTTCTGGGATTCCCATTCTCCTCAAGGTTAGCCACAATTTGTTGTGATCCATACAGTCAAATGCCTTTGTATAGTCAATGAAACATAGCCCCAGGGTATTACAAACTAGGAAAGAAGAATTTGTGACCAGTCCTTGGAGAAGGACATCATGCTTGGAAGGGTGGAGGGACAGCGCAGGAAAGGAAGACCCTGCATGAGATGGACTGAAATGATAACTGGGGCAATGGAATTAGATGTGTCAGAGTCAGTGAGATGGCTCAGTACAGGGGAAGATTCAGTACTATAGTACATAGTGTCGGTAAGAGTGGCAGGTGACTACACAGCACATGACAACAACACCAACAATCTAATTTTTTAAATTAGAAATGCTGAAACAGAAACAAACATTTATCTGTAATTGCTGAGACATGTTCAAAGAAAACAATAACAAACTGACAACCAGTATTTCTGAAATGTTTCCAATGTAAGAATTTTATTCTTGTTCCATATTCAGTTGCAGGTACCTACAACAGACTATAGACAAAAGGAATTAGGAAGGATGCAATAAAAATTTCTAGAAAGGAATAAACTAGGGGATATTTACTCCTGCTGCTCTCAGTAAAGTTAACAGGTCTTAATTTCAACCCTCCTACTGGGTGACAAAATTCTTAATTCAGATGAAATAATCAATTTAAAACAAGACTGTAGCCAGCACAGCTCAATAACTATTATAACACTATCTTTCCAAACACTCGAAAACCCTATCGTTAGTTCTGGGTGTGGAAAATCTACCAGATTATTGAATGCAGTTTTCTGAGTACTAGGAAACAAAACAGAACAAAGAATATCCAAGCAAAGCCAGAATCTATAAACTCAAACAGGTTGGCAAAGTGAGTCAAGGATGACAGGGGAAGTCTATCCTTGTTACAAAGAGGGAAGGCACAGGGGGATAAATGGCTGCCTTACCTCAATAGAGTGGCTAGTTCCGTAGTGTTGAATGGTTCCGTTTGGGCAGCCCTGACAGAACATAGCTTCTCTGAAATATAGTTGCCACTGTTTTAAACAGCTTTAATTTCCTCAGTGATGGTCCTCAGCCCTTTGCAGCTGTGGGTAGTTCTATGAGGACAAGGATGGTGTGGTGGTGAAATATAACATGTCTGGATGACGCCAAAGGCCTGGCCTGAAGACCTTTTGGAGAAAAGTGGATGCTAGCATTACTTAAAGGTACTGGAGTCCTTGTAATGGGTCCTAAACAGTCTTGGAAATTGGGGGCTGTTCTCACGTGCACTAGTCTCAAAAGAGATGTCAGGACATTCCAGAGATGTACGATGTCTTTTTCCTCCCAACACAGGCGTGGTGTGTTTCTTGTGGTAGGACTCTCGGGAGTCACAGGTAGAGTTTTCTAACTCTGGGCACATTCTGTCCAGGAGATCCAGCCTCTTAGTAGAGGTCTTCTTCTTCCTTCTATGGTTCTTTTTTACCTCTTTTAAATCTTCAGTGTCAACTTCTTTCATTGGCCATATTCTGAGAGTAGAATTCTTTTCTAGGTCCTGCCTAAAGAGAGAAATCAGGGTTATGCTGGGCCTCCTGAGAACACAGTTGTCAGCTGCTTCTGAGTCTACAGAGATGGCCAATCCCACACAGAGCTCTCAGCATTTGTCCACTGTCCTTCACATGGGAAAACATCCCAGGAGTCCCATGGGTTCTGACAATTTAAGACAGGTTTTATTTCATGTCCACAGGCCTTTGATATCTGGAAACCTTATATGCCATGGAGCCCCTAACCATTTTGGCCAGGTCCTGACTAGTCAGTGAAGGAACAATGTCCATGTGAGAAGCCCCTTGCTAGGTCTCATTCCTTCCCCCCCCTAAGATGATCAGCTTGGTCACATGATAATCCACTTCATTACTGTTTACATACTGGGATTTGTACAATAATTACTCCTCCATGTCCACAGGTTTCTCTAATTATCTCAAGGTATACTGTAAACAAAAAGTTCCCACAAAGTCTAAACACAAATGTAATTTTTACTTAAATTTAATTAAAAATGTTAGGTGTCATTGTGAAGGCATAAAGCTGGACTTACTCTTTTAGAAAATACACTGGACAAAGCTTATTAATCCAGATATTTTGTCTGTCAAAGAAGGCTTCTTGGGAGCCTCATCCCAATCATGGCATACCATGTTGGAACCTTGACATTCTAAGGGTATACAGGTAAGTTAAGGACACCAGTTTCCTGCTGATAAGCCTGGTTTGTTCCCATAATTTGTTCTGCCACTTTGATCACCCTGCTTTTGTTCTGTATACATTTGGTTATTACTGCTTCAGATTCTTCTGGAAGTTGTCTGAAGGTAGGAGGGAAGATCTGAGATTGCTATTTCCACAAAAAAAATTCCATCAAATCAAATTCCTCTTCAAAGATCAAGATGCAACACATGATCATTTTAAAAGATTTTATTCAAATACTCGAGATGTAATTCTCAAGAAAGATTAGAAAATTGGCCTGAGTACTAGAAGGAGTACTGAGGAAAGTCCTCTGGGGGCCACAGACAAACATATTTAGAAATAAGATCACAGTACATCTTGTGTGCAATGTAGACTCTGTGGCCCCAGGGAAAGATTCACCTTGACCTCACATTTCAGAGTTGTAATAACATCCTAAAATTTAAACTTGATCTTCCACATTACCTTCAACCCAACCTCCCTGTAGAGCTTATTAATATGATATTCTCTACTTCCTCTTTCAGAGGTTTTCTTTATTTCTGGTGTTTTAGGATTATAGACTATAGACTGTCACAGTGCAGTCTATAATCTATGTTGTTTGTTAGTTGCTGTCAAGTCAATTCCAACTCATGATGACTCTGCATGCCAGAGCAGAATTATAATATTAACGGAAGCAGATCGCCAAGCCTTTCTTGTGGTGTCTCAGGGTGGGTTCAAATGCTAACCTCTTGGTTAAGCAACAAGGTGTAAACCATTTGTACCACCTTATAAACTCCATAATCTCTCAGAAAGACCAAAAATAAGAAAAGGAAGGGGGCAAAGTGAGTTGTTGTCGTCGTTGCTGTTGTTTTTATGTACCATCAAGTTGCTTGCAACACATAGCAACCGTATGTACAAGAGCCCTAAACCCTGCTCTATCCTGTGCCAACCTAATTGTCTCTGACACATGTACCCCCATTACCCCAGTTACTGAATCAGTCCATCTCATTGAGGATCTTCCTCTCTTGCGCTGTCCCTCTACCCTTCCAAACATGATGTCCTTCTCTAAGGACTGGTCCTCTTTGTAACATGTCCAGACTATGTCAGATGAAGCTTCAGAATCCTTGCCTCCAAGGAGCAGCCCAGTTTCATTCTCTCTAGGATGAACCTGTTTGTTTTCCTAGCAGTCCATGGTATATTCAACACTCTACTCCAGCACCACAACTCAAAGACATCAATTCTCTTTCTATCACCCCTAGTCATTGTCCAGCTCTCTGACATATAGAAAGCAATTGTGAAGACTATGGCCTGGATCAGGCCCACCTTAGTCTCCAGTCTGATATTGTTGCTCTTCAGTGGGATTTTTTTAATAGATTAAAAGTATCAAAGAGTAAGGCAAAGGGGTCTGATACTAGCCTGAAGAAACAACAGGAAGAGCACCTTGACAGGAAGCCTGAAGTTTAAGAAGCCCCCATGGGTCATATAAGTAGTGGATCATTCATATAATAAAATTCTAGGCAAGCAACAATGAAGACAAAAGACATCTTACTGGTAGGAAAAAGTTCACTTAATATATTAAGTGGATTGAAATTTACAAAATCATGCATAATTCATTTTTGTTATATGCTGTTGGTCAGATCCAACTCGTTTCTGGCCCTCCAGCAGATTTTCAGATGCAGCACACTACACAGGAGGAGTCTGCCTGTCTTTCTCCTGCAGAGTATCTGGTGGATTAAAATTCTGTGCCTTTGAGTTGGCAGTGTAGCTCCTTATCACTAGGCCATCATAGTTCCCTTGTTATTAAGATAATTAATAATAAAATAACTTGAAATCTTTGCCTCAGATTGTCAATATCTGCCTCTAGAAAATGGATTCTAGTAGAATCATCACTTTCTCCACATTCAAAATATAGTTATAACTGTCATGCATGATGAGGAGAAAATATGCAGGAAAAATAATCAATACAGCATACAAAGAACTCTATAAAAATGTAACAAAATAGAAACAGTAATTACTTTTGAAATGTGGGAGATTATGAATCATTTTTAATACCAATTTTTTTAGTTTTTCATTTATAAGGGATATTAAGTATGCATTACTTTTGGAATAAGAACAAAACAATACAATCTGTCATTATTAGAATAAAAATCAGGAGGGATTTTGATTAAGGAAAAGCACCTTAATCAAGCATCCACTGCTTTATCATTTTATTTTACTCTCAGGATGACTGACTTTGGCCAAGTTCATTCACAAGAAGTCCTCTCCCGAGGCCAAGGGGGGACATGGAGTAGGGTGGGCATAAATCTGACCTGAAAGCTCTTCTCACCCACCCCTTACCTCCATACACTTTCTCTGTGTAGAAATATGGGAGAGTAGCTGTTTCTTGATTTATAGTCACAGATGCTATTGGTCAGTATACCTTGGGGAAAAAATACTAAACAGATTTCTTTTGTCCATTCTTTTATTTTTTTTTCTTTTGTCCATTCTTAAGGTTAAATGAATCTACTACTATTGAGTAGATTCTAATTCACGGCAATTCTCTGTTAGGTCTCCAAGGCTGTAAATTTATTTATTTATTTATTTTTTTACCAACTGCTTCTTTTTCCCCTTGAAATGACTGTTGGCTCAAGGCTCTGACCTTTTGATCAGCAGCCTAACTGTAACCCACTATGCCACAAAGGCTCTATAAATTCATCAAAACTCAACTCATTACCCTTGAGTAGGAACAGATTCATAACTGACCTTCCAGTAAATTTTCAGAAGCTGTAAATTACATGAGAGGAGATTATTTCTCTTTCTCTGGAGTAGCTGATGGTAGATTCTAACTGGCAAAGATCAGTACAAGATCTTTGAGTCTGCAACACAACTTCCAATGGACTATGCACCAGAGCTCTCTTCCTTAAATGAAAGGCTCTATTAATTACATAACCAAGGCAGAAGCAGCCAAGAAGTCAAAATACATGCTGCATTGGCAATATATGATATCAGGGACCTCTTTAAAGTAATAAAGAACAAAGATATCCATTTAAAGACTGGTACACTGAAATCAAACCATAGTATTTTCAATTATTTCTTTGAATCTAAGTGTTTGAAAATAAATGAGGAAGACTGGGCAGAATCAATGTCTTGGAATTTTTAACAAGTGAAGAGTATTGAACATATAATGGAATACTAAAATAACAAGTCTGTCTTGGAGGAAGTGCAAACATGGTGCTCCTTAGGGGCAAAGATAGTGAAACTCTATCTCACATATTTTGGGTATGCTTTCAGGAGGGAACAGTCTTTTAGAAAAGACATTCTGGGAAAGGCAGAGAGTCAGAAAGAGAGAGGAAGACCCTCAACAAGATGACACATTGATTGTAACATTAAACTAAGCAACACAGAGATTGTAAGAATGTCTCAGGATATGGCCAAGTTCCAATTCAAAAGGGAGTTATGAGTGCTTATCAACACAAAGGCACCTAACAAGAACAACTAATTATGCTAGGCCATCTGTTTGGTTGAATAAGAAGATAAATAGACTAACCAAGTGCATGTGATGGAGGTATGGGGGATTCAGGGAGAGCCATGTCTTCATTTTCACTCATTGTCATTGAGTGGACTTGCCTCATAGATGACCCTCTGGAAGGTTTTCAGAGGCTGTACATTGCATGGGAGCAAATTTCCTATTTTTTTTTCCTCCCTCAGAGCAGATGGTAGATACTAACCACTTGTCTTTAGGATGGCAGCATAACTAAATCCTTACCCACTAGGCCACCAGAGCTACCTAGGTCTTCATTAGTTCTTCCCCAAAGGCTTGGTTTCACCTGGGAAGAAGATTCTGAAGAGTCACCCTATTTTCTTGGTCAAACACTGGTAGCCTCCTTATGTTCTTGCTACTATTTTTTCCCTCGGTTTCAGCAAGACCTCTTACAGCATAAAGAATAAGAGAACCTCCTAGAGTGGGCACCAAATAGATTCTTGAGTAAGACCAAGAGGATTCTAATTTTAGCAATTCAAGAGACAGAAAATGAAGAAATCCATAAGTATAGGCTCTAGCTATCCAAATGGGTCCTATGGACATTCAGATTTAACTAATTGTAATGAGTCTTTGTGTTCATTCTCCAGAGTACCAGGGCTTCCAAGACAGACATTCTGGATATGCAATGGCATTTGGCCTCTCTGATTAATATAGGACATTCACAGAAGTTTGACTGTTGGACTGCCTGTTTTTCAATGTTTTTCTCCAAAACAGGAGACAGGGCTCCTAATCTTACCAAAGGAACCAAGGGAGTTCATGACATTCAGAAGCTTAATAATTTCAAGTGCACAGATCCTTCTAAAGGGAAAATAGTTTTGACTGTGAAATTAC